TTGTCCGCCTCCTCTCCACGGCTCGCCTCACATGATGGCAGTGTCGGAGTGAGACCACAGACCACTTCGCCATCGCCGAAAAAGAAAGCGCCGAGCCAAACCAGTGGGTTCAGGTTCAGAGGATCGCCAGAGGTCAACTGGTTCAATTTCAGATGCTTCTCCCATGCCAGCATGTGACAAATCCTCAGGGTCTCTGATGCGGTAGTTTCAGAGGAAAACAAGAGCCAACCCAGCCAGTCTCATCTGCCATCTTCTGAATACTTCAAATCTCATTTTCTGGAAGACACACAGCAGAATCAACTCTAATGTACTTCTCTGGAGTAAACCATAGATCCACAAAAGTTCAGAGAATGGCCAGAGGCCAACCGGTTTAATTTCAGATGCTTCTTTCCATGCAGCATGTGGCAAAGCCTCAAGAACTCTGATGTAGTTTCACAGGAAAACAAAGGAATCCATCCCACAACCAGTCCTGAGCTGCCATCTTCTGGATGTTCCTGATGGTAAGCCCAGATGTCACTCATCCTCTGGAAGACATGCAGCAGAATAAACTCTGTCAAGTTTCATCAGTAAATAAACAAGCAAGCAAAAGTAGCTAGAGCGACAGGTAACAACAGCAGGGGCGAAGCGTCGGCTGATCAATGATGGAAAAAGTGCGGACCTGATCAGTGGATCATGCATTCATGCATCGCCTAATATAATGTTCTGCTCCGATGCCGGCAGCAAAAGAGACGGGTACCCGTACTCGGGTACTCCCCCCTAGTACGCTCATCCGTCGACGACGCAGCAGGTGTCACTGCCAAGTGCCAACTACTAACTCCCAGCAAGATCGCAAATCCGGCCGAATGCAACGGCGACCCTGGCACCATACCATATTACCTGCAATCCATACAAAGGTTACGCTTACGCCTCCCGATAATAGAGGATTAAAAAATGGTTATTAAACAATGCTGTCAGAGAAAGCAAGGTGGAGAATTAGAAAATCAAGCAAAGGGCTTGCTACCTTGTCTCTTGGCCTGTGTCTCCATGTTTTCCTTTTTTTTAAACGAGTCAGCAGGAGAGCTGCTGCTATATTGAAAAAGAGGGAAGCCCGACGGGCGAATTACAAGCGTGTCTCCATGTTTTGTTCAATTTGGTGGTACGTGGTCTCGCTATCGTGGGAGGTGAGATGATTCGATAGTTAAGGTGTAGCAGTATTTCTGAATCACAAAACTAGACCACACACGTGCTACGCAAAATGTGTCGCTGTCACACGGAAGTGGAACCAAAATCTCATAAATTTGCACCCATCTTGACAGATCACAGCGTTAAATAACTGATAGACTTTGCTAGATTATTAGCCAAAACTTATGGGACTAGCATGTTTGAAATTTAACGCATGGATCATTGGTCCATGGGTTATTAGCCAATCTGATCTGACAAGTGAGCATGTGAAATACGACTTTAAAAAAAAGGGCTCAATTGAAATATATTAAGATGTTTAACTTTGTCACTCATGGAGTAATCTACCTCGATAACTGAGAATGCCGGCAATACCAGGCACTTGATCCCAGAAGCAATAAAAATATATATGCACGGTCTGTGGACTTTACTTCTTTTTTATAGGTCCAAGGGGATGAAAAAAATAAAAATAGTTGCCCCCATGCAGAATAATTGCGTTAAAGAAGAATGAGACACTTATCTGAAAACAAGGAAAGCAGGGTCCCTGAAAACAGTAGACAGCTCTTCATATCTCAACAACCGGCACAAATCCAAACTAGTTCTTAATCCAAGTTCCTTCTCAGGAAAGGTCAGATAGTGTGGCATTCGTGCACAATGATGTACAGTCCACATTCTAATCCTGTCGGCAAACATAAATTTGTATTGCCAGGAAAGGGAAAGAGGGCAACTACTATTCTGCTTGGGTTAATCATTCATACCTATATGTTTCAGGAACAGATAAATGGATTTCTTTTTTCTTGTTAGACTAGGTGTTGACAATGACTCAATGAGGTTCTGCAAATGCAGTGGACACAAGTTGACAAAACAGGCCTTTGTGTTCCTGACCTACTATAGAACCAGCTGACGGGGATAATATTATGCAACTGGAGAGAAGTTACATTACTCTAGGCATTAGATGACAGCAGCAAGGCAGTTGAGCAGTTGAGGAGGGCAACACGCCTTTGCTATCTTCAGTTCTCTCGGAAGGAAGAGAAGCATTAGGGGGTGTTTGGCTCAGGGGGGCTAAACTTTAGTCCTGTCACATCGAATGTTTATATACTAATTAGGTGTATTAAACATAGTCTAATTACACAGATGGAGGATAATTCATGTGACAAATCTATTAAGCCTAATTAGTCCATGATTTGACAATGTGGTGCTACAGTAACCATTTGCTAATGATGGATTAATTAGGCTTAATAGATTCGTCTTGCGAATTAGCCCAGGGGTTCTGCAATTAGTTTTATAATTAGCTCATGTTTAGTCCTCCTAATTAGCATCCGAACATCCGATGTGACAGGGCTAAACTTTAGCCCATAGTATCCAAACAGCCCCCTAGAAAGAAATTCAGATTTCCAGATAAAAGCGTATACATTAGGGAGGACAACGTACTTTGCTGCCAACTAGAGATGCGTTTGTCGTCTTGTACGCTCCAGTTGGAATGGCTCCTCGTGCTACCTGCAGCCTGCAACTGTTGATCAACACAGGAAGTTTCCACTCCATCAAGAGCCCAGTTGGTCCTAGTTTAGCAGGCAGCAGCATGTCAATGATTCAATGAAGAACCATTCAACAGTACAGATTCCGTGCTGCCCAGATTAAATTGATGCAGCAGAATCAAAATAACAAAATCATATTCGCTGGAATTAAGTATTAACACTAACCTGCATTCTTTAGAACTTCCAAATTACTTGCATAAAGTATGAGATCTCCTTGGTCGGTTGTGGCTGGCCCTTCACCCCTGTTTTTGCCTTCTTTTTCTGGTCACATATGTGTTTCTGCTCATCTCGCAAGGATAAAAATGCAGTCCCATTGCTTTCTACTAAAACCGAATATTATAATGGGTATAGTGTCCCTCAGCAAATTACGACGATTGTGTAGTGTCCTATGGCAAAGCCATCTTTTTTTAGTGGCCTGTGGCAAAAGATTTCCGGGAGCCAATTTTCCCTTTTATTAATTACCATACATAATATGCCAAGGACTCGCCTACTGCTGATGCAGCCTCTGAGGCTCACAAGGAGAGCCCATTGGTCCATGAACGGGTCCATGAATCATGAACCAATCTGATCTAAGAAATGGGGATGTGAAATATTGTTAAAAAAATCATTTTGAATATACTACATCAAATCATGGAGCAATGCGAGAATGTGATACATGCATTGGCTAAACCAGTTATTAATCTCAAAAGCATTATAAAATTGGTGCATGGTCGTTGACTTTGATTTCAGATTCGAGAGAAGGAAAAACTAGTAGCCCCGTACAGAATTATATTGGTAGAGCAGAAGTGACTAAATGAGATACTCACCTCAAAAAAAAAAGAAGGCAGGACCCCGAGAACAATAGACAGCCATTCTATAACTTTCAACAACAGGCAGAAACAGAAATGAAATTAATGCATATATACTTCCTTCTTATGGCAATTCAGATAATGTGAATCTCCCTGCATAAATACCAAATAATTTAATCCAGTTAATAGTAACAAATTTTATTGTCAGTAGTGTGAGGCCAAATATTATGATGCAGTTCCTACATGTAAAATAGTATGCCAGATAGATGAATTATGTACATCAGACACATTTTCTTTGTTCTTGTTGAACTAGAAAATTTTGAAAATGAATGGTTTATAAATGCATAGGTCGACCTATAGGACCAGCTAACAAGATAATTTTGTGCAACATGGGAGAAGATATAATACTCCTAACTGATAGCAGAAAAGCAGCTGAGGAGATGGTACAGAGACATCTCTAGTCTTACCAAACTCAAAGGTATAGAAAAATAAGCATGGATGCAAATTCTGATTCCCAAATAAATGTATTATGCACTCACTAGGAAGGAGGATAGCAGGTAGCCCCCAGTTGTTGTTTTTTTGAAAGGCTAGCTCCCAGTTGGAAATGTTGAGGTTTCCTTCCTCTGTGCCGGTGCAGTTGGGACAGCCCAGCTTGCTGTAAGCTGCAACAGCTAAAAACAGTACAATCTTGTGATCAGCATGAGAAGTCTCTTTAAATGATGAGCCCACTTGGTTCTAGCCTACCAATCCATTTATAGTAGCATGATTGTGCAATGCTCAACATATTATTTTCCCCTACTTTGTTGAAGCCACAAAATATTGATGTACAAAGGCTTGTAGATCAGCTGCATGAGGTTCACAATAGCGTTATCATAAGACAATTAATCTGTAATAAGATTAGTAAAAAGTATAGGACCTATGTAACAGCTCGGTCTCCTAGAGCATTAATGGTCCCATCTTATAAAATTTTCAGAACCTATAATATGTAGGACCAATAACAAATTAGCAGTAGTTGTTTCCCCTGTCTACATCCTACTACTCAACAAACTTACAAAAGAACAGGAATAAGAAAGGCTAGTGAAAACATAATTGCAGGAAACCAAATGGCTTGAACTAGATAATTTATTGTCTATATAGGGCGTAAAATACGCAGATTACTGAGAGCAATTTAACTTACAAAATTTCGGCATGTAGAGGTAGAAATAAGCTGATCCATGCTCTTATGGGCAGCAGCTGTAACCATGACTGGGACACTCCAAAATTTCCCTGTAAATATGGGTCACCTAAAGAACTAGAGTGCGGAGACACATGAATAAGGGACACAAGTTCCACGAAGTTCTTGCAGTTTCCATCCATCGCTACATGTTTTTCTTATTATGCGCATTGTTCGAAATCTGGTATAAAAGCTATTTGGGCCTTGTACACAGAAGATTGGCAGTAACAGTAAACACAAATTTCACAGCAACACCTTTGATTGAATTAGTTGATATCATCCTGAGGATCGGGTACAATTGGATTCTCAAGGATCATTCATGGCCTGACCAATCTCCGCCACAGCAACACTAGAAGTTGAACCCTCAGTGAACTCGAGCTCCATGCTGCCTCCATGTAACTGTGTCCGAAATTGTGGTTTCCGCTTGCTTCCCCTCTCTCTCCTCTTCATTGTAAAGTCTTCAGATAATTCCTTGCTCGGGCTCTCACCCCCAATGTCTCCTGTACCTAAACCAGAAGCCATCTTTCCATTGGCCTGAATCTCCGATGACCTTCTATTTCTTGCAGATGCCGCAAGGGGCCGGACCCAACAAATGGCAAGAACAACGAGGACAATGTAGACAGAGGAAGACACCCACACACACAGTGTCCATTTCAAGCCGCGTGCCAGGCCCTTCGTCCACGGAAGAGTTGTCTGCACAACCACCTCTGCTCTGTACACCTGAGGCAGCTGCAATGTAGCAGCTCTTGGCTGCAGCAGAACTCTGATGAGCCCTGTCCTCTTGTGACGGTCATGACCTTCCGTATACAGCAACACCTTGAGATTTGCAGTCTGGGTCTCGCCGCGCATGCCCAGCGTGAGTGGCACGCACATCAGCGCAGATTGCGCTAGCCGGACAGGGGTGCTCCTGTACCTCAGCATGTATGGCTGTGCAGCTGACGCCATGGTGATTCCACTAACAGAGATTGCCTCTGCTTTAATCTGCAGAGATGCAAATCAACATAAAAATTGTTAACGTTATGCTCCATGAAATTTGGATTGGGGATCGAGTAATAATAATCATGCAGTTATATACCTGGAACATGCCAACCTCTCGATTGTGGTAGGAATCAGGCAGCACCAGCGCCATCGACACCGTCACCGAGTGCCCGGCCGGCAGCGCCGCGCCCCGCGCTCCACCCAGGGCCACCGCGGCGCTAGGCTGCGCCACCGTGTAGTCGAAGTAGAGCGGCTGGCGCACGGTCACCGGCTCCTCCACCCAGTGCCGGACAAGGACGAAGCCGAGAAGCACGGACACGGGCAGCGCGGCGACAAGGGCGGCGAACGTACACGCAGCGGCGAGCAGGCCGAGTGCCGCGCGCCGGAGGTTAGAGGCGACCACCGCAGGAAGGGCGCGCAGGGCGCCGAAGAGAGCGGCGACGGGGAAGACGAGGCTGAGGATGGCAGAGGCGACGAGCTCCCCGAGGAAGGCGACCAGCCAAATCAGGCAGCCTGCCGGGACGGCCAGGAAGAGGAAAGCATCATTGGAATCTCCGGCGGCTGTGCTTCTTGGCCGGCCGGTGTAGAGGCCGTTGCCGGAGGCCGCGGCCGGCAAGGAGTAATCGTGCTGGTATCTGGACTCCTGTTGTGGTGCTGAATCCATTAGGGGCGCGTTTAGTTCCTCCATAATTCAAATTTTGTCGCTATGCAAAAAGAAGATTATCTGTCACATCAAATTTGTGGTACATGCATGAAGTATTATATATTGACGAAATCAAAAACTAATTGCATAATTTGGTTGTACTTTGCGAGACGAACGTTTTGAGCCTAATTAGTCAACGTTTGGATAATTATTACCAAATACAAACAAAATGCTACAGTACTTTGCCGGCGCCAAATTCGGGCGCAACTAAACGAGGCCTAGAAAGTAACAGCTGTAGGACCAAATGGAATGGAGCATACTCGGGGGAAGCTCGAGATGCTACAGCACGGTCATAGTTTATTAGCACACGAATAATATTTTTCTCTCATACTAAATCAGCCAATAGTATTTTCAGCCATGAATTATAAGCCAAACCAGCCCAAACGAACGTTACGTTAGCCTCTAGCCTGTAGAGCACAGTGTTGCTGGAGGATGAAGAGCGACACGTGGCAGAGAAAGGACACGTGTCATGCTCACGCTCAAGCTATGAACCTCCCGGCATGCAGAGTTATGCCTGGTGGCAACGAACTTTGTCGGTATCTCGTCTTGTACATGGACCCGTATCACGCTCAAACTAACTGATAACCACTTGACATCATGCGAACAGATATGTTCACTTGCTTGGTGACACGACGCAGTGCAAGCTTCAGAGTTCAGACTCCTCTGCATAGCTGAATCTGCATCGTTACAGAGTGCAGTGCAGGGTGCTCCTTATCAGACTTGGAAATGTTCACACTTCACTCAAGAGCTCAGAAACATATGGATATCTTTTTTTTCAACTGAGCACATTGACAATACACTTTCTATGTACATAGATATAGTCATGTTGAAATCAATATTATATGTACATCATTGTAAGATATTTACACGTGTGTGTTTCTGAAGCTATACATTAACATGGAATAGGTTACCTTCAAGAATGTTAGAACTCTTCATCATTTTCGGTTGGTCGCGTAATGGGTATTGATCATCTTCCGAGATGAGCTGTGTGATTTGTGCATCTGACAATGCCTCTTCCTTTTGGTCCATCCGGGAAATCGATCACACTTATGCTGCCATTGTCTAGATGGAAAGATGACATGTACTCCATTGGCAAATCAAGACATCGGCAGATTAGAGCGAGGTGGATGCCAGCATGGCCTACAACCACAGCAACTCGATCTGACTCACTATCATCCGGGCAATTCATTTAGCAAGGCTTGCCACGCATCCTTGGACTGAGCCCATGCATAGTCGCTCTAGTGTTTTGGATTCCATGCTGCCAATCCAGCCTGATTGAACTATTTCCCCAAAGCTCTGCAGAAAGAAAGCAAAGCATTGTTGATTACTCGAACTCATAAACATTGTTTAAATATTTCCAAGCTACAAGCACACTATATGCATAGCATTTATTGTACATTGAAAAGATAAATGCAAATTTTAAAGAAATATAAAGGAGCTTGAAATAGTCTAGTATGATGCTTTGCAGAAATCGTAGACAATGAAGATGGTCAAACCTTTTGCTTCACTTGAAAGGCATCATCAATTTCGAGTTCTAGCAAGTTATTCATTTCCACATAATGAGGAACACAGTCAGCACATAAGCAATCTGCAGCCTCTTGGACCTGTAATTGACTCCACATGATTATATATAGCAGGCTAAGAAAGAGAAGTAAAAGAGAACACAATTTACTCAACTTTATGGTTAGTTCAACAACAGTCACCTCACATATAAAAGTTGCAGTACCAACGGCTGCAACTTGTGGGCTACAAAGAATACTGTTCACCTTCAGATCCAGATGTAGTTCTGCAGTCTTCTGAGACTGAAAGTATCTGTACAGAAATGACCTCATCTTTTGTGTTGGAATACCTGTATAGTCCCAAGCATGTTCAGTGGTGCATATCCCTTTCCACCTAAACTAATCTGAAACACAAAGCAATGAAAATTAGTTACGGAACCAAAACCTTAAATTACAAATTGTTTGCAGTATGGTTCTCTGTTACATAGTTTCCAGGGTTTAGACAGAGAGAATTCTCTATTTGACATTAGAAAAAGTACTCGTTCATTTCTTACCCCTTAAAAAAATTTTATTCCCTGCTTAACACCGAGTTCAACTTTCATTCCTTATATCACACTGTTTGAATTTTACATCCGTGAACCGTTAAATACCCTCTGAAAAGACGATTTCTCCCTCCTCTCGTCTCCTCTCTTTCTCCCTCTGCTCCACACCAGCCATCCGACGCGGCGCGGGGGCGCTGGTGCGCGACAACGGGGGCCGGTTGCCACGGCATCGGCACGACCGCGACGCCCGGCGGCTAGATGCCACGCGGAGGTCTCCAGCGCCCGGATCCGGCTCGCGGCCGCCGGCACACGGATCCGGCCACGCCGGTGATGGATCCTGGGCGGCGCGGGCTTGGCGTGCGGCCCCGACCCCCTACGCGGGCACCGGCGCAGAGCGGAGTCGCCAAGCGTGGCCGCCGGAGCACGGGGCTAGATCCGGCCATGGACCGCTCGCCGGGGCCACGCACGGAACCAGTTTGGCGCGGCGGTGGTCTGGCGCGGGGGCGTTGTCGCGGCGGCGGCGAGGCGCGTGGTGAAGGGGATCGTCCCGATGTCCTGCAGGGCACCAGCTCGGCGCGATGGCTGTCGAGGCCCGGCTCGTCGCTGTGCTTGCCGTTGCGGCTGGGCCTGGGCGCGCTGCTGCCTGGCGCGAGGACGTCTTGCCGCAGCAGCGAGACCCTACGCGGCCGACGAGAAGGGCGCAGCCAGGGCCACCGCCGTCCCCGCAAGGCTGCTGGCCGACGAGCAGGCCGGAGGTTGGCACGTGGCCACAGATCCCGCGACACGGGCAGGCACGTTGTACCGCACCTTCATGGCGGCCTCCATCTAGCTGCGCGCGCGGCGCGTACGGGTCGTCCTCCTATGGCGGCGACCATCGCGGCACCCGGCGCGTTGCTCAGCGCGTCTTGGAGCCCAGTAGCGGCTGTTGGGCGGCGGGGCCCTAAGAGACCGAGAGGACATGTGGCTACAGTGCTAGTGAGCACGGCGGCTGGCGGCACATGGCCTCCCGCGGTGGCGCGCGGCCTCCCAAGGGGCCTAGCGGCCGACGGGGCTCGGCCTCCCGCGGGGGCCGGTGTGGAGCAGAGGGAGAATGAGAGGAGAGGAGGGAGAAGGATGGTGGGGGCCACATAGGCAAAATCATCTTTTCATAGGGTATTTAACGGATCACGGATGGAAAATCCAACAGAGTGTCGTATAAAGAATGAAAGTTGAACTCGGTGTCAAATAGGAAACGGAATTTTTTTGAGGGCCAAGAAAGGAACGAGTATTTTTTCTAGTATCAAATAGGGAATTCTCTCTTCTAGATATAGGTGTCCCATTAGTGGTTAGTGCACATTCACCATCTATCTATTGGTTGTGCATTGGGATGCAAGCCCCTACCCATTGTCGGTGTTTTATACCCGGCAACCTACCACGGGAGTACCCGAGGTAGTCGATTTGTCGGTGGGGGATCGCCGGACCTGGAACTTGAAGGTAAAAGCGAGGACATAAGACACATATTTATACAGGTCGGGCCGCCAGAGTAGCGTAATACCCTACATCCTATTTGGGGTGTTGTATATTGCGCCCTGCGCTTGGGTGTTGAGTAGCCTGATTGTTGGCTATTGTTGGTGGTTCTGGTTCTACCGATCTAGGTGCCCTGCCCTCCTTTATATACTTCAAGGGGCAGGACTACTAGTCGGTTACAATGAGAAGTCCTAGTAGGATTACATGGTATGAGTCCTAGTAGGATTACAGGGGAATCCTAGTAGGAGTCCGTCTTCTTTCCTTGCGGGTACTGGGATCTATCCCCGACACCCATGTCTTTACTCATAAAATTTCAAATTGTGTAGGTCAGTGTTGCAATGATTGCCCTTTTTTCATGCCAAAGGTTACACTAGTTGGATTGGTGCACGCAATTTTCAGAAAGTAATTTCACTATTTCATGAATTGCAAAATGGTACCCCCAAAGCAGTCAGTGCTATCTCATGATAGAACACATACGCAGACCATACCTCAGAACTGCTGTGTGGTTCCTTGAGAGGCCAAAATGATCCTCTTGCTTGTCTTTCTTCCGCCAGAACCACCAGCAGCAACAGGAGAATTTGGGGTCTGTACAAAACAGAATTGGCGACAAGATCAAATCCATGTTTTGTTTGTTAGACATTTCCATTTTCTTGTGTTGTCTTGATGATTATTTGATCTAATATAAATTGGCAACACTAACAGAAATGGGTGAGTTAAGGTAGGGGTTAAGGCAGGGTGATCCGTTATCCCCATGCTGTTCATACTACTGCCGCTTGCTCAAGAAAGCAGTCCAAGATGGAGTACTAACTCCTCCTGCATGCACAGCTATTCACCACCAATGCTCTCTCTGTGTTGATGATATGGTGTTGTTTGCAGCACCTCAAGTTCAGGACATGATCACAATCAAGGAGGTGTTGCAGTTCTTTGGGAATGCATCGGGCCTTCATACCAATCTGCAGAAAAGCCTGATAGCGCCCATAGCCTGCTCTGAGGATCAAATCAACAGGATCAGGAACATCATACCGGCAAAAGTTACTGTTCCCTATCCAATACTTGGGCCTGCCTCTGACTGTTGGGCGTCTCAAGAAGACACACTTGCAGCCACTAATTGATAAAGTTTCTGCTAGCTTACCCACCTGGAAGGCGCCTCTTATGAACAAGGCCGGCAGATTGACAATGGTTGAAGTGGTAATGAGCTCTATATGCACTCACACTTTCATCTCTCTGAAAATACCTGATTGGGTAGTGCAAGAAATTGACAAGAGACGCCGAGGATTCCTTTGGGCAGGCAAGAGCAAGGCCCATGGTGGTCAGTGTCTGGTAACTTGGCCATCGGCCTGCAGACCAACTGAGCTTGGTGGCCTTGCAATACCAGATTTATGGATTGCATCCTTCGCTCTCAGATTGAGATGGTTGTGGCTCAAGAAGACAGATGCCAACAGACCATGGAAACACCTACCGATGGATTTTGGGTAGGACTCCATCCTTCATCAAATGTTCCAGGCGTCTATTGAAGTCCACCTGGGAGATGGCAACCTGGCATTGTTCTGGATGGACAATTGGCTAGGCTAATCCTCTCCATGCACCCTCGCTCCTGATCTTTGTAAGCTAATCAGGCACAAGATCAAAAGAACCAGCACAGTGGCTGAGGCGCTGCAAGATAAGCAGTGGATCCGGGATATTGCCGGACGGGCAACAGTAAACGCCATCTCCCAGTATGTGCATCTGTGGCATGCGATTGCAGGGGTTCAGTTAAGCGGGGGAACTGAGGACAGGGTATCTTGGAGATAGGAGGGCTCAGGCATTTACTCGGCTAAATTGGCCTACAAAGCCTTCTTCCACAGATCAACCAAATTTAATGTGGCAAAACCTATCTGGCGCGCCTGGGCACCACTCAAAGTCAAATTCTTCATGTGGTTGGCGCTCAGGGAAAGGTTGTGGACATCGGAGAGGAGGCACCGCCACGGATTGCAGGATCGAGCGGATTGTACGCTGTGTGATCAGGAGATAGAAACTTCAGAACATCTCTTTGCACGGTGTTGCTATACTCAACAGGTTTGGCACACTGTCAGTGCAATGCTAAACATTCAGAATGCGACACCGGCGCAGGAAATCTCACTGATGGATTGGTGGTTACAAAAGCGAGAAGGTTTCAATGCCATAAAAAGAAAAGGGCTAGATTCCACCTTCATGTTGGTTTCGTGGAGAATTTGGAAAGAACACAACGATCGAGTATTCAGTAGAACCACGGAGAAGAATCCTGCAGAGCTGGCTCAGGTTATTTCAGAGGAAGCTCATCTCTGGTGTGCTGCCGGCGCCAAGTTCCTCTCCACCTTAGGCTAGCCGACGTCAGCAAGTTCGTTAGGACAGTGCTAGCTCCTGTCGGTAGAGTGGTTTCTGGTCGTTTCTGGTATCGATGTAGCTGAATTTTTTATGTTTATCCGTGTGCGTGCGCCCGGTAGGCCCGTGATGTAAAAAAATGTTATTCTCCTTCTTAATACAAAGATACGAAGCTCTCCTGCGTATTCTAGAAAAAGAAATGGGTGAGTAGTACAAGTGCACCTTTACAATAATATTATGTTTTGAAAGAAAAATTCCCAAAACAAAATAATATTGTTGATGGTATGTATTTGCTTTCTTGCTCCCAGCTCTTCATTGCCAGCCTGTGTATTTTCTTCTTGCTGTGCTTCCTGTATTTTGTATTCTTCATAAGTAATGTCTTGGATCTTTGATATATCTTCTGTCCTTTGTCACTGGTTTGCTGATACAGAACACCCTTCTGCTGCATTTGCTGTTATAAAGTAATTTAGATGCCTTCTCTTTCTCATTGACCCCATCTCCTGTTAGCATTATTTCATAATTCGATGGTATCCGACATATTATATGATGTAACATGTTTATGTCCAAAAAAAATAATTACCCCGTTTCCTGTAATGTTATCTTCACTGCTCCTGCGTTCTTCTTGTAGTCTCTATTGCTGAGTCCGCAGTTGGGTTGTCTTTTGATTCATAATTTGTTTAGAATACATGTAAATTTGTTTTTATCTTTGCAACCTCATATTCAACAGTGAGTGGACCTAGTTCTTCTAATTATATGCACAGGTAAGTAGAAAATATTCAGTGTTGCTTAACCTGCATTATACTGTTGTTCAACATATATATTTATGCATGATGTTGCTTCGTGAATGAGTCAGTTTTGCGGAACACCAGGTGTGGAAACCATCATACCACTCTGCGGTGAGTAACAAAGAACATTTTCTTCATTGCTAGAGAAGTCATATAGTTCTTTAATTCACCCTCTCTTCCTATATGAATAGTGTTCGAGAAACTGATGGCAGAGACAAGGGCAGCTGGCCCAAAGATCAAATCAGTGGCTCCTGTCCTGATGATAAAAGATCAAATAAGGCTAGGTATAATGAGATTACAATTCATCTGTGAAGAAGGTTTATGGATACCAAAGGTAGCTGGGGATGAAGGGTTTCTTTCCTATGAGCAAAGGATGCTGAACAGTGCCTATGTCTTCAGCACTCTAAGAAACAATGCAACTGTATTAGTCGTGACAGACTCAAAGGTTCTAAGGGTTCAAGCTTTGACTCGGGTAATCCCTTATATCTCCATGTGTTTCTACATTTCTTTGTAGTTGGGATATGTTCATGTTTTCTCTGCCTTGCTTTGTTTGATGAGGCTGAAAGAGGTGGCAGATTCCAGGGATGGATTGCATAGTAATGTTTCTTGCTTTCATGAGCTAAAATTATGATAACATCCATAACAATTATTAGAGGTCCGAATTGAGCAATTTTTTTTCTCGTGAAATAGGATTGAACTCACTGGGAATAGCCATTGGTCCTACTGTTGCTAGCCTTGTGCTATTTTCTTAATTCCCTGATAATATGCAACATCAATTTGTTATGTCCTGTTGTGTTTACTGTACAGTGTTCATGTTCACAGCCATGCTTCTTTGTTGTTGTTTTTTTGTTTTTTTTGTAAGTTTGCTTGTTTCATGTTATCCATACAATTAGGGATCTCAACAATGGTTGATTTGTTTTCAGTTTTTTTTTACATGGTATTTCTACATTGTGTTTTACATCTTGCTAATTCTGTCAGCCATAGTGATATAGCAAGAAGCTTGATTTTCCTCCCATTTTTGTGTTTCTTAATGTTGAAATATGCAATGCATACTTAGAATATTCTAGAAGATTGTGGAGATATCAAGAAACTAACTTCTCCATGTATAAGGATAAGATCATGGCAAGGTAAGAAGGTTCTAGAAAATTGGAGAGAATGCAAGAGCCATAGTTGCCATGCTTCATGGTGAAGTGTAGAATACTCTAGAACTAGATATTTAGCATAGTAGAAATATAAGAAACTAGATAAGGATGAGGAGGGTTCTAGAGTTATGATACTTCTTTGTATGGAAGAGTGTGGAAGTTGCCACATGGCAACACCACAATGATCATGAGCACTTATAAATAGAGGTGCTCCCCTCCCTCCTAGCCATACCATGGCATAAGAGGTCTCAAGTAGGAGATTGCAAAGTAGCCATGTAGTGTAGTGGTGTCATGGTAGGATAGGCACATAAAGAGTGTGCAAGTGAGTCTTGTATCAAATTGAGTAGTGAATAAATGTTTAAGTTTCCTTGTAGAGAGTTGGTCTCCCGCATTGGTGTCAGTGCGAAGGTCTTCTCGAAGTAGTGTGGGTAAGGATCTACAGCCTCCTCGATCTCCCATCTCTCCTTCACCTCCAGAGATAGAAATCCCATGAGTTGAGGCCAGAATTGGAGAGTATATGTCATCCGGATACTTTGATCAGTATGACAGTATGCTTTTTCCGGATATGAGAAGCTCATCCTCGGTTCCTCCTTCCTCACAGTGTAACAACCATGGTTTATTTAAGTCTTGCTTAAGCCTAAAAGAAGCAATTAACAACTAATCTAGCATGTAAAAGGTCAATTTTGCCCTTAAAAGCTAAAATTGGGGTTTAATTCAAAACTTGAAATTTTGTATAGAAACTTAAATTTTTGTCAAACTAAGAGTTGTAAAAATTTTCATTTCTAACAACTTTCCTTATTAGCACTTTTGCTAGTTTAGAGAGGAAGAGGCTCAAAAACTCAAAACAAAATCAGTAACAATTCAAAATCACCCAAAAACTAAGTGCTGAAAAACATGAATTTCCTCAACTTTTCAGCCCTTATTCTCACAAATTTGTTTACGAACTTGAGACAAACCTTTTATAAAAGTTGGAGTGCTACAAGTCCTTTACAATTTCACTTAACTGAGTTTGGCCAAAACCTACACAAAAACCATTCAAAAATCTAGTCAAAGTGGACCAAAATGGTCAAACTCAGCCCAAACCCCAAATCAGCCTAAGTATGAAAATAGCCCAAGGTGCTCATCTTGGCAAGCAAATTTCTCATAGAATTTGAACAGAACTTAAGAAAAACCCTTTATAAGAGTTTTAGTCCCCAGTCTATACAACAACTTTGTCAATAACACTTTGGCCTAATTCAAATCGGAAACCATTCAAAATTCGAATAAAAAACAGCCAAAACCCTGAAAATCAGCAAACTTGAGAATCTGCCTAAGTCTTAAAGACATGCGTTCTAGCAAACTTTGGAACCCCATAACTTCAAATCTATTTCATTTTTGAACTCGAACCTTTTGTAAGTTTTAAACTTTGATATAAGGGCTGCAAACCATAGAAAGGCAAATCTTCAAGTTCTTTTGAAAAATTTCAAATAAATCGGCCCCAAACTTTGGCCCTTTGGTTGCCCTGCGCGACACGGCCAGCCGAGTGCGCGCACGGCGCGTGCACCTGCATGACACCATCGCTTGGCCGCGCGCCACTGGCGAGCTCACCGTGGTCAACCCGCAGCCGCGATAAGACAGGACGGCACGCCCACTGCCCAATCCCCCAGCGAGCTAATCCCCTTCTCCTGTGCGCTATCCTCTCCACCCAACCAGCGCCCACTCCCCTGCCACCTCCCTCTGCCACGCCATGGCCGCGCATGGGCCAAGCTCCGCGCCCCAATCCACCGCTCGACAGCGACAACACGCGAGCCGCCTCCGCCAATCCGTTCGCCCGGCAAAAGGGATTTCACACGCCTGCAATCCTGCTCGCTCAATGCCTAGAGAATCCTTGCCCCCATGAGCTTGCTCTGCCCACCAATGGCGCCGCCGCCAATCCTCCATGCGCCAGCTGCTCCCCAGCGCCGCCAAGCCACGTCGCCCGAGCCCGTTGGCCTCGCCGCGCAGCCTCGCTCCTCCCCGCGCACGAACTCCCCAAGCTCCTAGCGAAGCTCTGCCGCCGCTTGCCCACTCCGTGGAGCTCCCTACTCCACACCGCGCCACCGCCTTCGCAAGCTTCGCCACAACCGCGCGCAGCTTCTCCCACCATCCGTTGACCACCCGCGAGTTCACCGGCGCCGGAACGCCCATGCTCTCTACCGCCGCAGCCGTTTCCGTCCCCAAGCCCGTTCGCCACCGACGAGCCACTACCGCTGCCCCGAGCTTCACCGAATCCCCTCACGGTGAGCCCGCACGCGTCCCCGACCCCTCGTTCCCTTGGTTTGCACACTAAATCACCGGAATTCCGTTCGCCTCACCGCCGACCGCCATAGGGACCTATCTGAGAAACATTAGTTGGCGCGAGGAGTTACTTGTAATAAGTCGAGGGCATAACTGTGATCGTTTAAAATCTTAAGGGCCCCGATGTAAAGTTGCCTCGATTAATTTGAATTGAAATTTTAGATTATTAGAGGAACTTTGAAAATGCACAAGTAATTGTAGAAAAATCAGAAAAATGCCCTGACATTCCCTGAACCTAAAGGCAAGCCCCGGATGCATGATTCCCTGTTTTAAACTTATGCAATATGATGAATGCTTATGATTGTGCATTTACATTTTCTAGGAGTTGATTGAAACCATAGATGCATGAAACTTAGTACCATTGATCTGAACACTAGTTGCTAAACTTGAGTAGCTGCAATGCTTAATAGGATACGGTAAAAGTCGAGTGATTGCCTATCACTCATGAGTTATAGGAATTGATTGCAGTACTTATGTTACAACTATAAGGACGATGGATGGGTTCGGACTTATGTTCGGTACTCGGTGGTTTGCCCCGTCTGTCTATATGAAATTGGACTAAGGTCGAGAAGTGATGGTGTTCATGATCATGTGTTTGAAGGTACTAATCTCATACCTAGTATGGGATGGGGAAGCCTAGTACCTGATTGAACCGGGACGTGAGCGGATCGCCCCACTTTCTCTGGAAAACTGAGTTTTCCCTTGGTGCATCATGTGGTGACAAGTGCGGTCACAGTATGGCGTAGTCCGGGTCTATGGAGCCTTGTACCAAGGGAAGTGGGCCCAACACAGGTCTAGGAATTGATGGGGACGGCTGACACATGCAGCGACCCTTCGTGGTGCGCGGATGTCGTGGGATTAGGTTGGCCATGCATGGTTAATAAATTCGAATCGATTCGTCTGCCTCTCATAGTTTGGGACTGCTTGATCGCTATGCTACACCGAGTAAAAATGAAATATGATGATGATATCAATTTGATGCTTGTCATTAATTGTTTGGAAACTATGCTTGCTTTGTATAAGTTGCTAATTTAGAATGGTTAAGAAATTAGAACCTGAGCTAAAACGTTGAGAGTAAGGACCTACTTTAGTCGCTTTTGGCAAAAATAAACCCATAGCCAAAAAGCCTGCATGTCTAGGAGTTGGTGAAGTAGTTCTCACCTGTCGGGTTAGTCTTGCTGAGTATTAGTTGCTCAGCCTTGCTTGTGGCATACTTTTCAGGTAATGCCGATGTTTCTGAATTGGCTGCTAGCGTCACTTGGCCTGCCCAGCACCCTCTGGGTTGGACGGTCGGGTGGGATCCCTCCTCGGACGGCGAGGACAGGGGTTATTGATGTCATGATCGGCTTCATCATGATATCGTGTATCGACGTTTAGACTTCTGCTGAATTTACTTTTCGTTGTTTGGAACCTTGCAAACTATGTTTGAATTTCAGAAACTCTGATGTAATGACTGTTGAACAATGTTAATGTGATGGGAATGTTGTAATCTCTGTAACCACTCACCTTCATGTGAGCAATGCTTCTCGATCTTGTGTAAGTGGTTTATCAGATGAAATCCGACGGACGACTAAGTTGACTTGTTTAAGGTGCATGATTGCATGTCAGGCGACCTAAGTGCATCTTAGCCAAGTTAATTTAGGCGGTTCCACCACACAGCCACCCGCGGGAGGGTTTGACGCCTTTGTATCTGATCTAGGACCAAGCATTCATGGTGGAGCTTATCCTTTTTATCCTGGATCGACCTTTGCACCACCTGCAGGAGTATCTTCTTATGCACCTCCTTCAAACCCAGTCGAGGCAGCTGCACATGCTATCTTTGGTGTACCTCCACCTTCTTCGTCCACCCATGGTATGTCTGATTGCACTCTTGCACCTCTTGAGGATATCACAGTGTCGAATTCCATTTATCTTATATCTCCTATGCCTTGGTTGGATGATTGAAGGGCTTCATTGGATTGAGGACTCACCTGAGGCTCCATGATTGCAGCTACACCTTCTCCAGGCCCTTTTATGGATGATTGATGACAAAGGGGGAGAAGATTTGAATTAAAGTTTCATCATCTTGAAGACGTAGTGTAGCTGGACAGGTGTGACTGTCTGACCGGTCATAGGACCGGTCTGAGTCTGAACAACTTAAGTATGGCAGTTTGAGTGGCTTTGATCAAAATATGTAATAAAGTCTCTTGTTTAGTGTTTAAACTCTATGATTTGTGAGAGACAGAGTTAGACCTTGTGTTTGGAATAAATTCGATCTTAATTCCTTTGTGGACTTGATATCTTGTAATGTGTGCTACTGTGTGTGTAGAACCTTATTTATGCACTTAAGTGACTTTGTGTTAGTTTGCCTTGCATGATTATGATTGGTGATTGCCTCGTGTGTGTGCTGACTGGGGACTGGGTAGACCGGTCTGACCCCTGACAGCACACACACACACACACACTTGTTTACTATTATTATTTGGTGATCACATGTCATATGCATCACGTATTACTTGTTCACACACTTTGCACCCCACGGATGCTAAGATTTAGGGAAGCTCCATGGTTATCTTGAAAATATGCAAGTTGGCATTTTAGGCCAAATTTGATGAAAATGAAATCTATGCACATACTAAGAGGGAGCTCTATCTGAATCTCAGCATTCAAAAGCTTTATTGATATATCTTATGTGAGCTTTAATCGATTGTCATTAATCACCAAAAGGGGGAGATTGAAAGTGCATCTAGGCCCCTAAGTGGGTTTTGGTGAATTGAATGACAAAACGATTAAAGGACTAACTTGTTTGCCTAAGATTGTGAGCAGGATTTTATTCTTATACTCATATTGTAATAATGACTCAAGTGTTGAATGAGTAACATATGGCTCAAAAGAAAGACGACAAGCAAGTGTGTGATCCCATGGTACAAATAAAAGAACAATAACAAGCAAAGAGTGGAATGAAGCTTGGGAATGTGTTCCATGATGATTGATCTATAATTCTCCAAGATATATGATAGCTTGATTGATCTAAAGAAAAGGGATCATTAAGAAAAGTATGGAAATATTCATAAAGGAATAATTGCAAGACTTCATGAGGACATGTTAAGAGACATAAGCATATAAGTTACACATTGGTCTCATGATTGGAAGCTTGTAATTTATGAGATATTCTTTATCAATCTAGAACAAGCATTTGAAGAGGATTTCAAATGGGATCTCATTGTTGATGTCAAAGCAAAGCTAAACTCAAAGTGGCAAGAATGGGTAAAAATCAAACGAGGTACTAGAGGCGAGGGACTAAGCAAGCTTTGGACAAGCGACGGCTTGGGCCATGTGCGTTTTGTTAGGGTGAAGTGGCTAGTATCCGGGGGGTTTGGAAGTATCATTTCTAGGCCTTACCGAGGGAAGCAATGCAATGCATCTAATCATTTATGGTTGGTAAAATGGAGTGGCTTAAGAATTCAAGTATACTTTATCATGGACAAAGGAGAATCTTAAGTCACTAGCTCAAGATGGATGTGCTCAAGTTGAAGGTTATGTTGAAAGCCCTCAAGTTACTAAAGACCAAAGTATGGCAAGAATGAAGACTTACAAGCTCAAGAGGATGATATAGTGCTTACATTTATTCTTGAGTATAGGTATGCCGTACTATCAAGAGGGATGCAACATTAGCTAATTGACAAACACAAAAAGTGCTCTTAGTTGACCTATGAGAGTCTTGCCTTGAGAGATACCCCTAAGTGAGATAAAAGGTTTCAAATCATCTAACAAGGATTGGCGTATCCTTTGGGTCAAATAAGGGTGAGTGTAAAAAGCTTTGGCTATTGTCACAACCAGACCAGTCTGACCGGTCTGGGGGCAACGACTAGTTTTTCCTGGGAGACTGGTCTGACCTGTGTGCCAAACGGCTAGTTTTTGAGCCTTGGGGTATTTATACCCCACGACCTCCTCTCTTGGAGGTTGTTGTTCCTGAGGCAAAAATAGTGTTCCTTGTTCATCCTAAGCCAGGCCAAAGCCAAGAAAAGCTCTCCCCAACCCCTCTTTGTGAGGTTGTGTGATTCTTGTGAGATCTTTAGAGTTGGGTGGTAGAGAGAAGTCAATTGAGAGCAATTCTGAGTTGAGAAGAGCAATCCATAGCTTGAGCACTTGTGGTTCGTGTTGAGAAAGCTTTGAAGCATTTGTTACTCTTAGAGGTTTGCCTCCTAGATGGCTAGGTGTCGCCGACTAGCTCCCAAGGTGTGGTGAGCAGCGACAAGTTTGTGAGGGCTACGATCTTGCCTCCGCAAGGAAAAAGATCAACTAGTGGAGACGAGGAAAGTGGTTGAAAGAGACCCGGCTTGTTTGAAGGGAGTTGAAAAAGACTCGTATTCTAATAGGCTCCTCAACAGAGACGTAGGATTCATTGGGTTGAATCTGAACTTCGGATAAACAAATCCTCATGTCTTCATTGTGGTTTGCTTCACTTATTGAATTCTAGCATTTACTTGTGCTTCCGTTTTGATCTACTTGGGTGTGCCTTTTGCGTGTGCAGGAACAGTTCTATACCGAAGAATATTTTCCTCTGAAGCCACACTTCAAGTCTTGTTGGTGCTAGAAGTTGAAGAGGGGATCAAGCTGCATTTAGTGTGCCTCACTGCACCTGACCGGTCTAGGTAACCGGTCTGACTGGTCAGCCCTGGCAGCAAGGATCAAATTGGTTGAATTTGGTTTAAATTGCCAATTCGCCTATTCACCCCCCTCTAGGTGACACCAAGATCCTTTCAGCAACATCCAAATCAAGCCATCGCAACATCCGAATCGAAAGTCACTGCAACATCTACAAGCAACACGGGCAGACTGTACCTCGTACCTCATCTGATCTCAATGGC